AGACACAGACGACCATCCCCAGGAACACTGGGACGGAACTTAATGGGAAAGGAAAGGATTCTTATTTCTTATTTCAACTGTTGCGTATATTAGCTGTGACATATGAATCAAGATGCTATGACTGAAAAAATTTGATTGACAGATGATCGTTGACATGTGATTGGCCGATTTTAGCCTGGTTCAGGCTGACGTATAACTAACTGGCCTGCAGAAGATAAGATTTTAATACAGGACTTTGTTGTTAAGATGCAAGTACTTTGTTTGGGACAATATGTCTGATAAAGAGTACATTTATATGCATGTTTAAGCCAGAATGATTTGATATTTAAATATGACCTCCCTACGACTTTAAATTTCACCTTTTGCATATAAATTCAGTAATATAACCTTTTTAATAGCTATCATATCTCGATCTTTCATGCACAGCAGAGTCTGCACCTGATCCTGTTGCATGCTGGTGCAATGTCCACATACCTGCTTTCCACGCCGCCTCCGGTTGTTTTGGAGCTGGTGTTTCTCTCCTCCAAGACGGCCAGGCCCGAGGCTGATGTCCCCTCAGAGGACACCAGGGATGTCTCGCTCTCCTTTCCTCCATCAGCACTGGCATGGCAGTGGCTCAAAGCCCCTGAGCTGGACACATCCTCGGAGACACTGTCATCTGTGGACATGTTTATAAGCCCATGTGGAGGGGGTCTTTCTGACAGCTGGATGTCAGACAAGGAGAAAGCAGGGTTGAGTTGGGAGTGAACATCTGGATGGGTTGCACAGCTGTTAGAGAAGGAAAACTGCACACTCTAAAAGACTCGATGTTTACAAATGTCCAGCAAACATAAACAACAGAGCTTTCACGTTTGGCTGTCAGACTGACGCTTTAGCATCACAGGAAGCGCTGCGTTTATGCACCAGGGGCTACGTTTCCTTAAGTATCACAGCTCATCTAAACAGAACACCTTTAATTAATGCATTTACAATTAAAATAAGCATTGCTAATAAATGCGGAAGAGACAGACATATGAGCAACACTAGCTTCCGGAGGTAGTCTATTAAAAAATAAGCAATAATTAAAGTTTCCTGTTATTAATCATTAAGGATTAGTTATCCAGCTGGAGCACAACTACCACAGCAACTAACGAGGCGCTCTGTTGGTTAGCCAGCTAGCTTAGTTTAGCTAAGTTGGTTTATTACAGGTTAGTAAGCACAGCTCGTAAGCAGGACAGCGCGTGCGTTAACAGTAGCGTCTGACGGCGAATGACTTTCTAACAGCAGACTCTCCGGTAAGGACGAGCAACACACGGTGAGAGCTAACCTACCGGTTGACTTCTAGTGATATTTCATCCATATTTATGTGTCCAGTCGGTCTAGCTAGCTGTGTGCTGGTTGGCTGCTGCACTGCAGTGTTCGTTGTCCGCTGAACGCTCACAGCTCGCAACGCCATTGGTTAGAATACGATCTGAAATGCAGGCGTGTGATTGGTTCATATTTTAATTCTTTAATTCTATTGGCTGGTCGGGAGAAGCCGAATGCGGTTATGTTTTACTAAAGTGACAGAAGATAATCTAAATGAGAATATGCTTAAAAAGACTAACATATGGAAGAGGATTGGGGACACTGAAAAAAAAAAGTTGACTGAATTTCAAATTTTATCTTAGTTTAATATGGGAAAAAAGTCAGAATTCTGACTTTAATCTTATAATTTTGACTTTGATCTCAGCATTCTGACTTTAATCTCAGAATTCTAACTTTAATCTCAGAATTCTAACTTTAATATTAGAATTTTGACTTTAATCTCAGAATTCTAACTTTAATATTAGAATTT